TATATATATATATATATATATATACACACTTAATTTCGATTTTTCCACCATTTCCATATTTTGTGACATTATAACCTCTTAAATTAGTTTCTATTGATTGCTATTTTTTTATTTCATTTTTTATTTCTATCAACCCATATATTCTTTCCTAAAATTGTTTTTTTTTGTTTAAACACTACAATGATCTTTTATATTTGGAGTAAATCATCACTGGTTTTAATTCGTGAATCCATATCTCCTCAACATTTTTTCCCGCTAAATTCAATAAACATCAAAATTTACAATTCTGCCCTTATAATAAAATTCTAAATTGAAGTTCAATCGAAGTTCAATTTGCAACCATTTATTACATTTATATACGAAAATATACAATCAATCTTTATCCCTATCGATCAGAACCTATTAATAGGATAACATTAAATTTATATATTTTTCTAATAATTTCATTTGAAATTATCATGTTAAGTTATATATGATTTTTAACTATCAAAATTCGTTTAATTTTGTAATCATGAGTCCCACGGTTATAAACTAGCAAATTTATATACCAAAAAGAAGGTAAAAGAAATAACTCTAAAGACCATGTGGATTTTGGGAGAGGCATTATCACCGACGAAATCCAAGGAAGAACGAACTCACTATGTTTTAGGACAAAAACCAACGAGATATGATGCGACTATGACCGACCAAAGCTTAATGGGTTGATTTAAAATTATCATACTTCTGGACATATTGACCGGAGTATCTCTAATTAGGTGTGGTATGAAAGAATATTAATCTTATATGGAACCCAATTTCACCGCCTCCATGTCTTGCTTTCATGAGATAGAACTGCATTCTAATGATCGAGCCCCAAGTACTATGTGAGAGAAGAGTCCCTGACCCCATGTAACCCCCCATTGCTGCCAAAAGTTACCTTCATGACTAATTTCCGGGTCGACTCTTTCTCCATTGACACCACCACCATCCGAATAAAATGAACATATTATGAGATTTAAAGCTGCCAATGCCAATACCATAAACTCCTACTACTTGCCACCCTTTAATTACAAGTAATCCAAGATGTTTTACTTTGATATGAATGGACAGCTAAACTTTTTTTTCCTTCTAATGCTTTGCAAATTGTTGTTAACCTTGACTGATGCATTAAATAATAAGAAGAGGTATGAAACAAAGCTATCCAAGACCGCCTTGCAACGATGAGTTCCTCTACCACTAAAAGAGAGTGAAGTTTCTTTCTAATTAGAAATCTTATAACAAAATTATCCATAATTGACGTCTAATATACTTTATTTAGATATTGAGGCTTATATTGGGATCCCCAAATGTGTGAACGACAAAGCACCATAACAATTCAATCTTCTAGCCAAAAGCAAACTCCCTGATAGCATAACACCCTCCCTAAACAATATGGTATTGGGTAAATTAATCTTGAGACCTGAAGCCAATTGAAATCACCGAAGAAGTATCATCAAGTGCTGCGCATTCTCATGAGACCATTCACCAATCACCAATGAAAAGTACATCATTGGCAAAACAGAGGTAGGATACATTCATTCTATACTTGGAAGACTAACCCACAAAAGATCATGTTCTCTTTAAGACCAACATTAATATCATCAGCCAAAATAATGAAAAGGAGAGACGATAAGGGGAAAGTATCTAATTTTGTGCATCAATAAGCATGTGGACATAAGGAAACTATTATCTTTTATTTGTGCCAAGACAAAATTGGTTGACACTTCCAATTGGTAAAAACACTTTTCTAACAAATTATTGTAACTATTCGCAACCAAAGACCTCTTACTGGATTTAGAATTATTAAATTTTGCAACCAACAAAAATAAAAATTCCAATTGAATGGGGGATTATCAAATTCTTCAATTAGCAAACAAAAACATGAATGAGACTATAAAGTCCTTCAATAATTCTCAAAACATACTGAACAAAAATATATGTTAAATTTAAATATACCTCGGTCACCACCATTATAAAAAGACCTTGACACCAAGTAGACATAGCATAACTAAAGAAACAAAATTTTGCCTATAGTTAATACTTTTACATTAGAAGTCATAATCACAATAATAGGCGAGGAAGCTTTGAACCACATAAATAATCTCATAGGATAACAAGATTTAACAAACAAAATAATTGTTTTATATTAAACCTATAGCTAAACTGATCCAAGAAGTAACACAACTAAAGCGTAGAATTATGCGATTAATTTTTTTTGGAGAAGTAGATTAATCCTTGAATTTGAATCATTTCCCTAACGAAATCAATTCCAGGCTTAACCCATCGAAACAAACCTCTGTTGCTCTTAGTTTTGAAAAAAAAAAAAGGCAATATAATCGGACTTTACAAAACCATAACATCGAGCAAAATCTCAATCTAAAGAGAAATACGATTCATGGTAATAAGAAACAATAATACCAAAAAATATTTGACAAAAACATGATCAACAGTTAGAAAGCAACAACATATATTACTAACCTATATCACACAATAATATCACAAACAAAAAAACCATATTTCTTGAAATTACAAGACTAACAAGCTCTCATAACTCAAAAAACCAGCTAAATAAACATACATACCAAACAATAACCTCGACAAGAGAAATACCCTTACAGTCAGTTTCAAAAGATGATCTTGATCAATACCCGAAATGTTTGTATTATTAACTTGAAATTAGCTCCAGTGAAAACATACAGCGAAAACTAGTTTCCCTTTTTGCTTCATTAAAATGCTAACCGACTTTAATTAAAACATAGCTTCATTCAATATATCGATTAATAGTACTGTGTTCAAAACAAAAGCTTTTGCCATTACATGAATGAGAAAATCATCATTTTCTGTCTCTAGAGGAAACATACCATATCTATTGAAACTTCTCCCCAAATGTAGGAGCCTGACCACCCAGTGCATCAATAACAAAGGAATCAACCATATATAATAGCAACACAATTATAATTATTTACGGATAATAACAACACACCTACATTTACTTACCTATAATAGCAACATGCTTACTTAATTTATCTACAATATTGTTGTGAAGAAGAAGACATGCACAAGTGTTATGGTAATGAACCTTTGATATCAAGCAATGCAGGTTATGGTGTCACTGAGGCTGTACCTATTGACACACAGGTTGTTGGTATCCAGCCTATTTCTGTCCCTTCTCTTCTGGTGAACGAGTTGAAGGAAATCACTGACAACTTTGGTTCGGTTTCATTGATTGGTGAGGGGATGTATGGAACAGTATACTCTGGTGTCCTTAGAAGTGGGCAGGTTGCAGCTATTAAAAAGTTTGACTACTCTAAAAAGCAACCAGACCAAGACTTTTTAGCTCAGATTTCTATCTTATCGAGGCTTAAACATGATAATGTTGTTGGGCTACTTGGATATTGTGTAGATGGTGACTGGAGAGTACTTGCTTATGAGTTCTCTTCAATTGGATCTTTACACGATGTTCTTCATGGAAGGAAAGGTGTTAGAGGTGAACAACCAGGTCCAGTTCTATCATGGTCCCAAAGAGTTAAAATTGCTGTTGGGGCTGCAAAGGGGCTTGAATACTTGCATGAAAAGACACAGCCTCGAATTATACATCGTGATATGAAGTCCCGTAACGTTCTGCTTTTTAATGACTATGTGGCTAAGATTGCTGATATTGATTTATCAAACCAAACACAACAAATGACATTACTTGTTCAATCCACCTTTGTTCTTGGTACCTTTGGTTATCATGCACCTGAATATGCCTTGACAGGACACCTGAGTCTAAAGAGCGATGTTTACAGCTTTGGAGTTGTTCTACTTGAACTCTTGACTGGACGAAAAGCTGTTGACCATACTTTGCCACGTGGCCAACAGAGTCTAGTCAGCTGGGCAACACCAAGACTTGGTGAAGATAAGGTCAAACAGTGTGTTGATGCTAGACTGAATGGAGAATACCCGCCAAAGGCAGTTGCCAAAATGGCAGCAATTGCGGCGTTGTGTGTGCAGTATGAAGCTGATTTTAGACCAAAGATGAGCGTTGTTGTTAAAGGACTGCAACCATTGTTGAACACTGCTGGATCCCAAACAAAAGCGCCACACTTGTGAATTCCCCTCTACTTCTTGTGCTTAATGATGTTCTTGTAGATCATCATGTGGGTAAATTTATCAGATATTGATGTATGATATAGAACCATTCTTTTGTTTGACCTGCATAAAAATGTTCAAAATTCTTTTTCAAGAAACAAACATTTTACCCATTTACAAGAAAATAACTAAGAATCTCTTAAGCTGAAGGAAATTTCCAAGTTGTTGGTAAGAGATGAAACACATCTTGTCATTTACCATGCCACAGAAATATAGAATATATACTGTTACCCAACATAAACGCAATTGATGATGAGTGTCTGTGATGAGAAAGTCAAGAACCTGCCGTATATTTCTTCCAGGAATCCAGGGAATGTTTATAAATTTAGACCAGAAAAATAGTTAGAATCCCCAAAATTCATAACACTATAATTGTATCTACAGATTAAAAAAGGTCATATGGTACCAAAAAGCTACATGTACACACACACACATACATA